GAATATCACCGAAAGAGAGAGACCTTTGCTTGTTCCTTATGAAAATCAAACCAGATATCAAATATTTAGTCTCGCAGCATCAACCTCAAATATCTCATTAATCACTAGTAAAGGTAATTTAAATTTACTTTATTTTCTCATTATATTTTATAAAGTTAACAACATTATAAACATGCATAAAGTAGAAATAAAAAGATAAATGTATGTACATTTTTTTTTTTTTTAAAAACACCCTCCTTTCTAAAAAATATTCTGCACTTGCGCGAAAACTGGTGGGCGGTAAGGAAATTTTTCCATCAAGAAAGATGCATTAGTGGGCGGTAGGTAGAAAAAGGTTGACTACCCCTGATATAGATAGAGATATATATATATATAGATAGAGATATATATAGATAGAGATATATATATATATATATATATATATATATATATATATATATATATATATATATATATATATATATATATATATATATATATATATATATCTCAATACCATTTACCTTACTCATAATCTCTCCCCTTCCTTTGCAGTATATGAAACTGCAAGGGGAAGGGGTAAAATTTTACTAATAACAATCTAAGCAACTACACTGTAATTTCAAACAAGAACAAGGTATCTTATTTACACATACTAATTTCTAAAACACATTTATTTTAGTTTAAAGACGTAGAAACATAGAATGTGACTGCATAGAAGAACCAGTCGGCCCATCTAGTCTGCCCAATTTTCTAAATACTCTCAGTCCCTGACCTTATCTTACAGCTAGGATAGCCTTATGTCTATCCCACGCATCCCAAAACTTCTTTATGGGGTTAACCTCTACCACTTCAGCTGGAAGGCTGTTCCATTCATCCACTACCCTCTCAGTAAAGTAATACTTCCTGATATTACCTTTATGACATTACTGTAGATACTAATGCTGTGGAGCTCTATTGTACAAGGAGACAACAACAATATGAAGCTCCTAACAAAAGAGGGTCTTAAGTATAGAAAATAAGGATAGAGGGGTTAGGGCTCAAAATAGGGATTGTCCATCCTAAAAAGGGTACAATTATGTAATCAAATTCCACAGCTCTAGATACAGTGAATGAAAAAGATAAAAATGAAAGGCACAAACTAACACAGAACCTTAAACAATGTATGGATATATTTGTACAAAATACAAATATAGGTTACAAAAGAATAATTAAATGGACACTCTAGTCATCAAAACAATTTTAGCTGGGGGGGCGTGGCTAACCGCCGAGAGGAATGGACGTGTAACCCGTTCACTCCGGCAACACGGGTCGCAATCCGACTCCATCGAACGCAACACGGCGGCACAACTGCTTAAAAAACGAAGATGGCACAGCAGAGAGGCAAGAAGTCTGCACACAAAGCGGAAAAAATCAATTTCTTTGGACACAAGTCGCACCAGGAACCGGAGGAGGCTCGGGCCTGGTCGCAAGATGGCGGCTCCGCTACTGACAGCCCTGAGAACACAGCAGCATTGCAAGAAAGTGATCCTGACATACTCACCAAGAGCTATTTACAACAAGCTCTGGACACCCTGTCAAGCAAGCTAATTACATCGTGGCAACATACAGCGGATTCGCGGAGGAAGGACATGCAAGAATTAGGCAAGCGCACCTCCCACATGGAGAACAAGATGGCAGAATTTGCTACAGCACACAATGACATAGCTTCTCATGTGGAACAACTGGAACAAAAATTACTGGCGGCGGAAAATAAAATAACTGACCTAGAGGACCGCGCACGCAGGAATAACCTGCGCATTAGAGGGATCCCAGAGGATGTTGTGCCGGAGAACCTGCAGGCATATGTCAGAGGCGTGTTTAACGCTTATGCTCCAGACATACCAACCGACATGTTACTCGTGGACCGAATACACCGTCTGCCTAGACCACGGTTCCTGCCAGAAACTGCACCGCGGGATGTACTACTGCGAATGCATTATTATCATATCAAAGAGCTTATACTCAAGTCAAGCAGAAATAAAGCAACACCACTAGAAGGTTACCCAAATCTGCTGATTTTTGCAGATCTATCGGCGTCTACTCTTCGCAGAAGGAAAGAGTTCGCTCAGGTCGCCAACTCCGTGAGGGCTCATGGCCTCAGATTCCGATGGGGCTTCCCTACCAAAATGTTGGTGACGAAAGATAACACCACCCAGGTTATCACATCACCTGAAGATGGACTCCGTAAACTACAATCCTGGGGATTTATGCACCAAAGACCGGAGCCTCACACCCCACCTGCCAGGCGCATCCCACTGGACTGGCACAAAGCATGAACTGCTGGACATACGCAAGTATAAATCTGATTATGCCTAGGCGCTTGCAATGGACTCGAGGGCTGGGGAAATATCCCAAGGTCTATATATGCTAAACAAAAAAAAAAAAAAACAAAAAAAAAAATGTTCAGGTTAACACGGATTGGTTATAACAAGTTAAATTACCTAGTTCCTTAAGGTTACTTAAGCTGGCAAGCAATACCTCCCCATCATTTGATGGAAGTATGGGGCTGAACCCCCCCCCCCTAGCAACCTGTAGCTTACGGGAGAGGCGATGAGTTGCAGAGGACACACACATTCTCTCCGTGTGCCTCATCAAGAGCATAATGTGAGGGCAACACTGTTACGCTGCTTAGTAAAATAATATAAAAAAAAAAAAATAAAAAAAAAAACAATTGGTATAACACAAGCACTGCTTATAATCAATAGATGCTCATTACCGCAACGAGCTCTCCCAGCTACTAGGGAGCAAGATGCTGTCCTACTGGATGTACTTACCAGCTGCTGATTATGACGAATATAAGTGTATATATATGTATTTACTACTATACCTGACAAAAATCTCTCCTAGTCCCATTACCGTTCACCCCCTTTCTCAATAGAATTGTACACACACCAAGAGCCTATACGACTATTAGTACTTACTACAGAGGTGGCCTGGTGCGACCGACCGTCTCCAAAGGTTAAGAGACAGCGGAAGACCCATAGCCATGACACGGAAACATGCTAGTTTCCACCCCCACGGTACTTACCACCAGTACCAAGACACATATATGTATATACTTTGTTTTTGTTTCTACCCGGTTTACACCTCCCCAAGTTTTTGACCCCAGTCCCGCAAAGATAAGGAAGTCCAAGCCACTACCCATACCAGCTAAGATCACTATTACCCACACAGGGGCACTCTTGCCTGATATATGCACAACCAACAAACACACCCGACTAGAAGATACAATCAGAAGTAAATTAAAAACTCAGTGTCCAACCCATATAATAGTACACTATGAAAATATACTCACATAACGTACGGGGACTGAACACCCCTCATAAACGCAGAGTTCTGTTAGAGGAAACTAAGAGGGCTAAAGTAGATATTATGTGCCTCCAGGAAACGCACTTTGTGCGGGGGAGAATACCAGAATTTGGGAAACAAGATTATCCGACGCAGTACCATACGACCTATTCTTCCAAAACAAGGGGAGTGTCCTTTTTGTTTCACAAATCGCTTACCTTTGAACTGCTAAATATTAAAACAGACGCACAAGGTCGGTACTTAATACTCCACTGTCAAATCAACAGAGCCATATATACCTTAGTAGGCATATACAGCCCTAACTCTAACCAGCGCAATTTTTTGCATAAAGTGCTGAGCAAATTACCCCATGAACACAGAGCCGGCATCATAATATGTGGCGACATGAATCATATTCTCCAACCGACTATGGACACGACAGTATCGTCTAACACTCCCAGACATAGATCCTTAATACCACAATGCAAAGCCATCACCAAGCTCTTACTTGACCACAATCTATATGACATATGGCGAACAAATCACCCGAGTGACAAAAGTTACACTTTCCACTCCAAGGTGCATGGAACCCACTCCAGAATAGACGTCATATTGGTGTCACAAGATTTGGTGCCCTCCACAACACAGAGTAGCATAGGGGACATAGTGTGGTCGGACCATGCTCCGGTAACCCTCATAACCCAGGATGCTTACAAGCACAGAGGGAAAACCCCGTGGCGATTAAATGACACCCTCCTATACAACGACACCTTTCAAAAGGAATTGGGGACTGAGATAGATAGATATTTTCAACTTAACAACCAACCTGACATATCACCTACTACATCTTGGCAGGCACATAAGGCAGTGATTAGAGGTCAGCTCATTAGCAGAGCGTCCTTCCTAAACAGGACCTCTCAACAGGCGCGCCTCACACTACTGACCAAACTGCGTGACCTAAAAGCAGCCCAGCTGCTACACCCCACCCCCGACCTCGACATTGAAATAGAACAAACTACAAATCAATTAAATGATCTCCTACTTCAAAAAACAGCGCGCACTTTACAAACACTCAAACTGAAGCATTACACCCAGGGAAACAGAGCGGGGAAAAAATTAGCATCTTTACTGAGGCATCACCAAGCCCACGCCAAAATACCATATTTACTCACTAGCACAGGAGAGAAAATATACAACCCCATAGACATTAATGAAGAAACAGCAGCCTACTACCAAAACCTGTACAACCTAACAAAAGATCCCCAAACACATCAGCCAACACAAGTGGAAATTGATAACTTCCTATCGCAGATAAAATTGCCAAAATTAACACAACAACAGCAGGACTCCCTGATAGAACCGATCACACTGACAGAGTTACAGCAAACGATTCGCTCACTCCCTTCGGGGAAATCACCAGGGCCCGATGGCTTCACGAACACTTACTACAAAGTCTTTTCGAACATCCTGAGCCCCTACCTAGTACACACACTGAACCATATTGTACACACAGGGAAGATGCCAGTGGAAATGCTATTAGCACACATAGCCACGCTACCAAAGCCAGGGAAACCACCCACGCAACCTAAAAATTTAAGACCTATTTCACTGTTAAACACAGATACGAAACTATTAGCCAAAATATACGCCAATCGTGTAGCGGCCATAATCCCCTTTATTACACACCCGGATCAAGTGGGATTTGTAAGGGGGCACAGGGGACTGACGGGACTAGGAAGCTCCACAGCCTCCTCTATAATGGGACGCCTCTCGGAGAGCCCAGGGTCTTTATGTCCCTGGACGCCGAGAAGGCGTTCGACAGACTTCACTGGAACTTCCTGAGAACTGTCCTACAAAAATTTGCATTCCCACAACAATTTCTATCCCTACTATTAGCACTATACTCCAAGCCATCAGCACAGGTTGCGAACGGCGGGTTCGTATCCAAGCCGTTCCTTATCACAAATGGAACACGGCAAGGATGCCCGCTCTCCCCGGCCTTATACATTCTTGCGTTAGAGCCATTAGCCCAAGCAATACGGGATAACAACCAAATCAGAGGTGTGGAAATTAAAAATAAAACATACAAAATAACGATGTTTGCAGATGACGTAATGCTCTCCCTGTCTGACCCACTCACCTCTATCTCAGAACTCCAGAATCTGCTGCAACAGTACAGCAATTGCTCATATTACAAATTAAACAGTTCTAAAACGCAAGCAATGAGTCTGCATGCACCTGCATTGCTGTATACAGCCTTGCAACAGAAATACCATTATGAATGGAGACAAGACCACCTAACTTTCTTGGGTATAAAATTCACGAGACTAGAAAGGAACTTACATCAGGAAAATTACGGCAAACTCCTCACATCCATAAAACAGCAGCTAGCGAATTGGAAAGGGAAATACATATCATGGATAGGTAGAATAGCAGCAGTCAAAATGAAAATTCTCCCGAGACTGCAATACATGTTCCGTACATTACAAATTAGGCTCTCAAAAACATTCCTTCACGACGCACAAAAATTGATTAACACCTTTGTCTGGTCCCATAAGAAACCCAGAATAGCGGCAAAAATCATGTACCTCACATATAAAGGAGGGGGAATGGGATTACCACACATAGCCACGTACTACAGATCAGCTATACTAGCACCGTTGGTCAACGAATTACACCAACATGACAAACCATCCCCTTGGGTAACGGTAGAGGCTGACCTAACTGGGGGGCAAAAAATAACGCACCTAGCCTGGACACCGCCACAACTTAGAAAAAAATATAAAGATATGTCACCACTCACAGCTACAACATTACGAGAATGGGACAGATTTAATAAGGAACAGGGATTTGATGGGGGGCTATCACCAGCCTTCCTCCTAGATTCATTTTATGGTCTGATACCTTCATTGAACATAACGTCCTGGAGCAATAGAGGTCTAATATACTTGCATCAGTTGTTTGATCAGGGAGAGATCATCCCCTTCAACCGACTGCAAAATAAATACCAATTACCCAATGCAGCAGCATTTGCGCACAGACAGATAAGCTCATGGCTGCAGACAAATAGAAAAGTACTGCCTGCAGCAAACAGGTGGAACACTTTCAATGCATTAGAAAGTCTCTGCACACAGACGAAGAGGCCACTCAAGCTAATCTCTATACTGTACAATCGCCATTATAGTGTACCAGACCCGCATACAGTACAGTTTGTTAAAGCATGGGAAGTTGAACTAGGAAAACAGTTAACAAAAGAGCAGTGGTCATATATACTGTGTGAGAATAAAAAACTTACACTCAGCACAACCCATCTGGAACTAGCCAGGAAATTATTATATCGCTGGTACTTAGTACCAACCCGACTGAAACATATGATACCTAAGAATACAGGACTGTGCTGGAGATGCAATAAAGCTCAAGGTTCCATGCTACACATTTGGTGGGAATGCCCAATCCTAACACCATTGTGGACGGAAACACAGACCCTAATTAAAAACATTACAGGTGTAGCTCTCGCACACACTCCCGAACATTACCTCCTACAGTATATACCACCAGGCCATACAAAATCATCCCGATACTTAATATATCACATTATCTCGGCGGTTCTGTTGCATATTAGCAAACACTGGCAAAAACAGACGATCCCCAGCATACAGAGCTGCATAACCCACATTGAAACCATAAAGAAGTATGAGATAATGGCCAGGTCCAACAATCCCCCCAAAAAATTTTGGAAGGAGGCGTGGGAAAAATGGGACACACGCCAACAGACGCAGTGACAAGTTAAACACTCTAAACACCTTTGTGTGGTAGCTCACAAGACAACGCTTTAAGGAAAGAGCACTAGGCAAACCTTCCTAAACCTTCTTTAACATCACTCTATGACCATATGAAAGCCTGCACATACTACCCTCACCTACTTAAGCTGGTTGCGTACACTGGTGCAATTTATTAAGGCCACCGAACAGGCCTAAAAGCTGGACCAAGCTAAGGGACCAATACCTGCCCCCCTCCCCTCCTCTACCCTTCTCTTTTTCCCCGTATTATACCCAGGTTATGCCCCAAGTTTATATTCCCCTGTTCATTGGAATAGTAGCTAGGTGTCAGGGAAGATGCGGGTTGTTTTCACAACTGAGCAATTACCGACACTGGCACAGCGAAGAGAAAACTCCTACCATCACGACTGATGGTCAAGAAGGAGAACTACATAAATATGGGCATGACAGCAATGCCAGGATACTCTGTTTAATACTCTGTTTAATACTCTGTTTAATGACAATTTGTTTAACGATGTACCTATATTACCACTATCATATGTATGCTTCAAACTGGCTCTCATCAAGACACAGATATGATAGCTCATTGTCAATACATGTTGCTCAAAAGTTGTACTCTCTATGTTGTACTCATGAATGTAACTTGCATACCCTGTATACCTGCAATACGACTGTGAAATCTTATAAAATGCAAATAAAAAAAAAAAAAATAAAAAAAAAACAATTTTAGCTTACGGAAGCAGTTTTAGGGTATAGATCATGCCCCTGCAGTCTGAATCCTCAATTCCTACACCGGCTTGCCTTCTTCCCATACGGATTCCAGTGGCCATCTCTCCCCCAGGTAAATCACGTACATGCACTTGGCCATCCATCTGATCTAAAATAAATTGTGATTCATCAGAACAAGCAACCTTCTTCCATTGTTCCAATGGCCCTTCAATGGTAACTCCACCTCTGGCAGTGTCTTTGGGGTTGTCACCTCCAGTAGCAGAGGGGTTACACTCTGTATGTGCAGAATTTCAAAGTTAAATGTCTCTCTCTCTCTCTCTCCCCCCACACTAACCACTTCAAATTATTGAAATGGTCATGGTGATTGCAGTAACCATTTAAGGGGCCAGTCAACAAAGCTCACCAGCCCTTAAAACTTAAAATTACTCCATAGAACAGTTACAAAAACTGTTAACATGCTGTGTTAACCACAAAACAACAACAACAAAACCCAGTTTCAGTATACATAATTTGAAAATGGCTCTGCATGTTTGAAGATCTGCCGAGGACAGAAACTGCAGCCAATAGAACCAGTGCCTCCCACAGGCCTCCTGTCTACTAGGGATATCTGCGCTCATAGAGTCCATCTGCTTAGGCACATATTTTTGTCGGATAAAAAAAATATATAGCGAGATAGCTGAGGGTATGTAAGAGTCTGCAGTGGTGTCTGTGTGTCCCTGTAGGAAACAATTTCCTTAGTGTGTGCATGTTCCCCTCGGGTGAAATTAAGTGCCATACCCTGGGATGTGTCATCTCTGGGAAAAGTAGTTTCAGTGTGCGCCTGTTGTCTGCTGGAAAGGTTGTGTTTTCCCACAGGGGGAGCATGGGGTCTGGATGGGTTGTCAAAAAGAACCTAATTTCTGTGTGATGGGAAACCTTTTGGCCCTGCTGTAGTCTCAATGAGGGTAATATGGAGTATGTCCAATTTCACGTTACCTGCAAGTTGGATAGTTGTCCATATATGCTGAATTCAGATAAAAATCGGAGACCACAAAGAGGAGATCGTCCGTGTAGGCCAGGGCTTGACAAATTTGTTTGGCTCCTAACTTTTTTTAGCTGGCTCCTAGATTCCAATCATTTTCAATGAGAAAATGCAATTCTTAAAGGGACACTATAGTCACCAGAACCACTACAGCTTGGTGTCTATAGCCTGTCCCTGCAGGCATTTCAGTGTAGGCAGAATTTACATTGCTGCTTAGAAACACCTCTAGTGACAGTCCGTCAGATGGCCACTAGAGAGTCCTGGGTCACTGCTGCACCATGTGCAGCACCCAGGTTCAGTGTCTCCAAGCTCTGCATGGAGGCGCTGAATGTTTCTCAGAGATTAACTAATTTAATGCATCTCTATGAGGAGATGTGGATTGGTATATTTGCAGCACATGCACAAAATCCTCCCAATGCATTCCCAAGGGAAAGCATTGGCTTAGCTGAGATCATAAAGATTTATAATCTTAGCCATGGCGAAACTTGCACAGCGTTGGAAAATGGGGAAAAAAGGCGAGTAAAAACACCATCCTCATGCGATCAGAAGGGGCAGGTACCTAAACACGCGCGCGCACACACCTTGACAGGCTCTCACAAACACACACACACTGACAACAGGCTCTCACACACAAACTCTGTCAGCTGCTCACACACACTCTCTTGACAGGCTCTCGCTCACACACACACAATTACATTTTTGTTTTAATTGAAACGCACTCAGCCTCAATACCTTTGGGAGAGCTGAGTGGGTCTTTCCTGGGGTCCAGTGGAGCTTCTCTCTTCCTGTGTGCGAAGGAGCTCATCTCTGCTCCCTCACGCTCTGATCTTGTGGTGTTCTGTTTGAGCCTGAAACTCCTGGATATAGAAGTTGGCCCGTATGTTCAGCAAGGGTTCCAGAGTGAGCGCAAACAGCCTGGGGGAAAGGGTCAGATAAGGCACCATTGATTCAGAGACGTACCACAGGATCTGTGTATACGGCATGTATGAATTGGGTCCTAGCCCCAGAGCCTCCATTGTTGGAAAGAGTTAGTCCCAGTCCACCCTGCCGAAAGCTTTCTCTACATCCATCGACAGGAGAAATATCAGCACTCCATCTCACACTCATCTTCGGACTGTGTTATCCATGCCATGGATAAACCCTGACTAACTCAAGTGTACTATAGCTGGGAGATATGGAGACATGTGCATCGCCAGAACTTTACAGAACAGTTTTAGGTCTACATTTACTACCAAAATCAGTCGATGGTTGGCACACTGATTTAAATCTCAGCTTTCCTTTGGGATAGGTGTAATATTAGCTGGAACGAACAGGAGCAGAGGTGGTTGTTTACTCATCAACACATTTAAAGCCTCTTTCAGTCCAGGGAGTAGTATCTGGGAAAATATAAAACACAAAACAAATTCTGGTGGAGGCAATTGAGGAACTAGAAGCCTGCATCTCGGAAAAGGAGACCCATCAAATCTGCCCCGACGGGACAGTCTGAATGTGATATAAGTCGCTATAAAATTTATGGGAAGTGTTGGCTATGTCCTTTGGTAGGTGGTGGTGCCTATTGTGGGAGTCCGTAATAAAGGGTTTTATATATAGCGGATTATGTTTGTCAAGTAATAGGCGTGCAAGCATCCTTCTGCACTTGTTCCCCTGCTTGTAGAACAGATGGCAGTAACGGAGTTGATTTATGATGTTAAGACGTCTGCCAATTTGACCCAGAGTGTTATAAATCGTTGGTATGCTGCACCATCCAGGGAAGTCTTGTGCAGGTGGTCAGCCTCTGAGACCTCCCTGTACAAGGCAAACAAGGTCTCCCTCTGGTATTTTTTCCTTGCTGTTGCAAGGGAAATAAATTTGCCCCTATTTACGCCTTTATGGGATTCCCAGGTGATAGTCTGGGAAGTATCTGGCATAGAATTCCCTTGGAAGTGGGTTTGGGGAGTCTGTCCAACCTTATGGGTTACCATAGGGTCACTAAGGAGAGACTCATTTAGTCACTAGTTGCACTGCCTGGGTTTGTGGAGGGCTAAGGCTACCTCTAGAGTGAGCGGGCTATGGTCTGACCAGGTCATTAGTTTGATTGTGCTCCGTCTCAGGATAGATAAGTGTATGTGCAGAATGAGGAAATAAAGTCTCATGTGCGCTACTGAATAATAGGTCTAATCCCATAACTGAATAATAGGTCTAATCCCCATCTGTAGTAGGCAGGTGTAACGGCACCCCGGGCATATAAGGGGTTAAACGCCGTTTAGGAGATATTCCCTTCCAGATATACAGGCAGCTACTGTGGACACCAATCCACCGAACTGGAGAAGCATATGAATGCTCTCAAACATATGAATGCTATAAACAACCGAATAGGAAAAACCATAAGAAAGGTTTACACTCCTAGCAGTCAAACTGGAAAAGCATACAATAAATCCCCCCAAGAACGAGACAAAGCTCCGTGTTGAGGGTCAAGCAGTGATCAGACAGAGCTGTGGGTTTATTTTTCTTATATACACATTAGTACCACCCACAGGCCTTTGGAAAACAACCAATAAACCCGTACAATACACTCGGACACTCCCACACAAAATCCTCCACTCTGCCTGTGATACAATTACCTTACACAATGGGTTAATGTAATTATCACAGGCACAGAAACACAGTTTTTCCACATTATTCAAAACTTTAAAAGTATACATCACATTCACACAATACTCCAAATACAAACATATGTCAAAATCATCCAAATTGGTCCATTGGTTCAAAAGATAGATCGAAGTCCTTTGTGACCAAATGAAGCATTGTTTTTCTGCCCAAAACCAGTTCCACAGAGTCTTCTATCCTGGAGATAATTGGGAAGTAATTATCTCCAAGGACAGAGGCAAAACTCCATTAAGCACATGGCAGTAAAAAGACAGTAAAATACAATAAAATACACAAGGTTACATTTATTACATAAAATACAGACATGCAACATATCCCCAGATAGCTTAGGTCGGAGCGCACATTATTACTGAATGGCGCTCAGACCACACACATACAGTTCAACTGCCATGGAGCCAAAGTCTTTTATTACACGAATAGGCTCCATGGCATAGCTATCTGGATTAAATGAGTTAATTCAGTAAATCCGAGAATCTACCGAACGCCAGGGCAGAAATACAGGAATAGACCTTTCTGCATAGCAAAATAAAGTATTTAAATGCCGGTCCGTAGTCAAAAGGCAGCAGGCAGGCAACCAGGGTCCTCCAATGCACAGTGGCGAGATTGGTCTCGTCACAGCAGGGTCATTCAGCAATCTATTAGCTAAAATGTCCACAGCAGTGTGAACAACTTGGAGATTCCTTGTGTGGCAGGCAGTGTTCTATGCGCTGTGGAGTCATCCACCGTATACAGTAGGACATTCAGGTCTCCCCCCTACTACAAGTATGCCCTCTGCAAATTGCTCTTTGCACATATATTCAAATGGTTAGAGTATGTTCACTTACCATGTACGGTTGAGCCCCATTAAGGCCTTTCAAAAAGAGAGACTGTCCCTCATGACAGCGGAGGGCAGCATGCTCCTTGAATAGTGTGTGACCAGAAAAAAGAAAGGCCACTCCATTAGACTTAGCGATTGGGTTGTTACTATAGAAGGCGTGTAGAAAACTGCAGTCCCAAACAGCCGTTACATCATACCCCTTAATAGTATTTCTTGAATGAAAGCAATAGGATCTAGCAGCAATCTGGACCACTTCTCTGGCACATCAACACCCTCCTAGCATTTATATTGTAGAAGACTAGATCTGACAGAGTTTAAGGGGCCCCACCTGCCATCCCTGACGTGTGGGGAAGAAAGAAAAAAGGAAAAAGGAAGTGGGGAGAGGAGAAATGAAAAGGGGGAAGGAGGAGAGCTGAAAGAGATAGAAACTAAAAAGAGAGAGAAACTTACAAAAATCAGAGACCCAGTGAGGTATCCAGTAATCAGATCACCAGAGTCTCGGCTAACCAATATCAGCCAAGGAATACGGCAATCGGAGGAACCAACGGTCATTCAGTCAGCGGAGGTAGTGGTCTCAGTCGTCTACACCCTGGTGGGTGTAGCGGAGTATAAAAAAAAAAAAAACCCTGCTACCTCACCCTCCAAGAGGAGGGGAGGGTCTTTGAGAAGCAGTGAAACAGCGATTACTAGGGTGGAGAAAGGGGGAAAAGGAAGGCAGCCCGGACATTCAGTTTGCATGCAGTGCTGCTAAGGGAGGGCAATCCCCTTCGCAAATCAGTAGAGGGCAAGGTAGGTCCGCAGCTGTGTGGATACCCATGGTACCTCGGACTTCCCTCCCTCTATGCCAGCAGGTATAAAATTTTAGGGAGTAGCATTATTTCCAATATTTTACAGTTTGAAGAGTAATACTTTGTTTTCTTTGTGCTTTAACCTTTTAGTGACCAATGATTTTCTGATATTCCTTTTGTTTGGTTTTGACACATGTGCTTTACAGTCATGTAAGTTTTTGAATTCTATGGTTTTACATATCAAGACATAATCATATGTCCCTCAGCAAGCCTTAAAATTAGGTAAATACAACCATAGATGAACAAACAACATATTACTTTCTCGGTCTCTCAGATTGTAGTGGAGGAATTTTTGTCCAGTCTATACACCAATGCTTCAATTCATTGAGGTTTGCTGGCATTTGTTTATGCACAGCTCTCTTAAGCATTTCAGTCAGGATGAGGTCTAGACTTTGACTGGGTCATTGCAACACCTTAATTCTTTTCTTTTTCAGACAGTCTGTTATAGATTTGGTGGTGTGCTTGCGATCATTGTCCTAGTGCATGACCCAATTTCGGCCAAACTTGAGCTGTCAGATAATGGCCTCACATTTGACTTGAGAATACTTTGGTATACAGAGGAGTTCATGGTTGATTGCAAGGTTCCCAGGTCCTGTGGCTGCAAAACAAGCTGAAATCATCATCCCTCCACCACCATGCTTGATAACTGGTATGAGCGGTTTGTGCTCATATGCTATACTTGGTTTTCACCAACTATGGCACTGTGCATTATGGCCAAACATCTCCACATTGGTCTTGTCTATCCAAAGGACTTAGTTCCAGAAGTCTTGTGGTTTGTATAGGTGCAACTTTGAAAACCTAAGCCGTGCTGCCATGTTCTTTTTAGAAAGAAGAGGCTTTCTTCTGGCAACACTTCCAAATAAACCATACTTGTTCAGTCTTTTTCTTTGTACTGTCATGAACCGAGGAAATATTGTGAGCTCTATTATAGCCCATTCATCATATAAAGTTTAACACAGAAATGCTGTGAATTGAAAACAAAAAAACTTTAGGCTAACGTTGTCAAGATGTGACTATAGTGGAGTTTTAGTGAAGATTTTTTTAAATTTAATTCAGTACTTTTTTTTCTCTATAAATGGTACAACTCAGCTTTTCAGTTCACGGTAATTTGGTGTTTAACAAGGTAATGTACTTAAAATAACATTTTAGCCACCAGAACCACTACAGGTTTTCTATTGCATGTCTCTGCAGGCTTAGTATTGTAAATGCTACCTTGTCATAGAAACAGTTCTAATGGTTGTCACTCAGACAGCCACTAAAGGAACTTCCTGGGTTAGGCCCTACATTCAGAAGCGGAACACTCCCCTTAGAAATTCATTGAATCATCTTTGAGGAGATGCGAATTGGCGCAACGTTTCAGTATGTGCTCAATAGCCTCCCAATGCTTCCCGTGGAAGCATTGTTGTTACCAAAAACTGCAATAATTACAATTGCAGGGTTAAAGGGGCCCAGGACATTGCACCCAGACCACTTAAAATGAGCTGAAATGGTCTGGGTGCCCACAGTGTCCCTTTAACGCTATATAAACAACTAAATTCAGATTTAATTTGTGAATATTTGTAGTTTTGCCAATAAATTTGAATAGGTTTAGTTAACCCCATGACCAAGTGACCAAAGACGTATCAGGTACGTCTAACAAAAAATGGTCATTAACCATTAACACCCCCTCCCCCTCGCACTATTTAACCCTGTAACTTTCCAAGAAACCCTTAAACCTGTACATGGTGGGTATTGTTTTACTTGGGAGACTTTGCTGAACACAAATATTAGTGTTTCAAAATAGGAAAACATATCACAGCGATGATATGGTCAGTGAAAGTGAAGTTTTTTTGCATTTTTCACACACAAACGGCACTTTCATTGATGATATTGTTGTGATACGTTTTACTGGTTTGAAACACTACTGTTTGTGTTCAGCGAAGTCTTCAGAGTAAAACAGTACCCCCCATGTACAGGTTTTATGGTGTCTTGGAAAGTTACAGGGTTAAATATAGTCCTAGCAAATTAAATTCCATGGACTTTTGGCCTGGGTTGTCAGGCAGGTCTCGCTAATTGTAATATATACGTAGAATTATTATATTATATATAGTGTGACATATACGTTGTCCTTTTGTTTTATGACCCTGAGGAAGGTCCCGAGTGGGGACCAAAACTTTGGTCGTTATTTTTAATATTACCTAATAAATTTTCATTTTAAAGTCCGGAGAGCAGTCTGCCTTGTTGGATTCTTTGTCTATTGGAGCTCTGGTGATGCGCCCGGTATTGGAACATTTTTCAAGCGTGAGTGCAGGGGATTATTGCATTTTCGTATATACTTATGTATATAGATATATGTATTTCATTCTACATGTATTTTGATATCAATATATATTAATTTTAAAATACAGTTAGAACAAATTTACACACTTTTTTTAACGTATTTACATATTAATTTTATTATATATATATATATATTAAAATACACTGTGTGTGTGTGTGTGTGTATATATATATATATATATATATATATATATATATATATATATATATATATATATATATATTAAAAAAATTGTATTTTACACTGATTTAACTTTTATTTTATTTATTTCAGGCAGCATGGAGGAGTACCTGTCATTACAGGCGCTCCCCCTGCTGGCAATGCCTTGCAAAGCTATGCCGTCCAAGTGATCGTGAGGTCCTCGCAAGGACCTCACGATCACATGGCCCAGGGGGGCCAAAGAGGAAGGAGAGGGACTCCCTGGGCTCCCAGGTGAGTCCCCATACCGCGATCGCCGGCGATCGGGTAAGTACCTAGGACGGATTGGGTGTTCTATGCCGCCCTCCGGCGTTTAGAGCCGGTTCCCTAAAGACGGCAGAGAACGCCCGCCGTCCTTAAGGGGTTAAGTCTAATTGCTACTTTGTAGCAGTTTCCACCGCAGTGTTCTAAGTGTTCTTCTGGTTGCCCGCAATTATACCATTATTTTCATCATATCATAATTTACTATAAAAAAAAAAAAAAATGTATAAAATATGATGAAAAAATGTAAACACACCTTTTCTTACTTTGACCCCCAAAATCTGTTACGCATCTACAACCGCCAAAAATCACCCATGCTAAATAGTTTCTAAAATTTGTCCTGAGTTAACATGTTCTTAGCTTCCCCCTCCCAAGTTATAGGGTTATAAGTACAAGTAGGCCATCTTGTTCGCATAAACACAGGCAGCAGTGTTTGGGCATGAATCTCATGGAACTGAAAATGCACACAGAAACTCCCGAGCGCCGCTGGGCTTCCAGCATCGCCTGCGTTCGGATCCACAACACTTAGAAAAGTGCTGTTGGGTGGAAACGTCCCCACGAACAAAGGGATTAAACTCCAGAGTAAGACTATTGAGTCTGTTTGGTAGTTTGTTTGTTTTTAAACTACCGAACTAGACCAACCGCATGCCCTGATTCTCTGGAACTGTTTTGGGCATGTGACCATGCGGGCAGTCGGTCAAAATGAAGAAATCTAGAAAATTCCTGAAGTGCTGAACTGATCTGGGTGATTTTGGGATATGTTGGTCACCCAGATCAGGGCTATCAGGAGATGTAACTTTTGTGGGGGTTTTGTGTGTTTTAAGTTATTTGGGGGGTTTTGTACAAATTTGTGTTTTTTGTGTTTGGAGATAATTGAGTTTAGTATAGTGCTTTACTCAATTATCTCCCAAGCATAGGGGAGGGATTGACGTATTTTGTATGGGAGTGTCCTGGACCTGAGATCCAATGTGATTGTGTATTTATTTCTACTGTGGTTTACTCTCAGGTCTAGAGGGCGTGCTTCTTGCATGGGGACTGTCATAAAAGGCCAGTTGTGGCTACCATTAAACAGAGATTCGTTTTACCCTTCATGAAGTCTAGGCTCATGTTTGGGGGATTGGAGAGCTCTATTCACACTCTGGGGATTGCTGTAATCACTATACTCCCTTGGATCACAACACTTGCTCTTATAAGAGCAGCCTGCTTCGCTCTCTGAAATAGGAGAGGTCTACCCACTGGAAGTTGGATCCTGGTCTTGGGTCCAGGGTGCATGGAGGACAGTGAGACCCCAACCAAGCTGTGGCGGTTTGTGGGGTATACGGTGGTTATGGTGTCCAGTGCAGTGCTTATGGTACTCAATGATTATTAGGAAGCAATGATTGACTGAAGTACCGGGGTGCCAGGCGGTCCATCACATCTACTTTAAAAAAATATGTACATTTGAGGTGTGATTCAGAGATTTATGACAGATAACAGTGTTACAAAGTCACTATGGATACATTTTAAAATTATATATTTTGAAACAGCAATGTCCTACTTGTACTTATAACCCTAAAACTTGGGGGGAGGGGGGGTGAAGCTAAGAACATGTTAACACTGGTTATTTCTAAACTCAGGACAAATTTTAGAAACTATTTAGCATGGGTGATTTTTGGCAGTTGTAGATGCGTAACAGATTTTGGGGGTCAAAGTAAGAAAAAGTGTGTTTACATTTTTTCATCATATTTTATACATTTTTTATAGTAAATTATGATATTATGAAAATAATGGTATCTTTAGAAAGACTATTTTAATGGCAAGAAAACGATATATAATATGTGTGGGTACAGTAAATGAGTAAGAGGAAAATTACAGCTAAACACAAACACTGCAGAAATGTAAAAATAGCCCTTAAAGTACCACTATAGTGCCAGGAAAACATCCTCGTTTTCCTGGCACTATAGTGCCCTGAGGGTGCCCCCACCCTCAGGGACCCCCTCCCGCTGGGCTCTGGGGTGAGGAAGGGGTTAAACTTACCTCCTTCTCCAGCGCCGGGCAGGGAGCTCTCCTCCTCTTCGGCTGAATGCGCGACAGGAGCCGCGCGTGCATTCAGCCAGTCCATAGGAAAGCATTCTCAATGCTTTCCTATGGACGCCGGCGTCTTCTCACTGTGAAAATCATTGAGAACCGCCCTCTAGCGGCTGTCAATGAGACAGCTGCTAGAGGCTGGATTAACCCATTTATAAACATAGCAGTTTCTCTGAAACTGCTATGTTTATAAAAAAAAAAAGGGTTAATCCTAGCTGGACCTGGCACCCAGACCACCTCATTAAGCTGAAGTGGTCTGGGTGCCTTTAGTGGTCCTTTAACTGTAAGAAAATTATAAAAAACAGTCAGGTCACTAAGGGATTAAAAGAACACTATGAAGCTGTTTTGGTGTATAGATCCTGCCTCACTGCTCGATTTTCTGCCATTTTGGAGTTAAATCACTTTTGTTTAAAGAAACCTAGCCACACCTCCCTGCATGTGACTTACACAACCTTCCTAAACACTTCCTAAAAAGCGTCATCTAATGTTTACACTTCCAGTATTGCAAATTCTGCTTAATTTAGAATTCCGTATCTCCATTTCATGTAAGCGGTGCCAGTAACAGCCAAGGGAGGTGTGGCTAGGGCTGCATAAACAGAAACAAACATGATTAAAGGACCACTATAGTGCCAGGAAAACAAATTTGTTTTCCTGGCACTATAGGGTCTTTGGGTCCCCACCCACCCTCAGGGTCCCACTGAAGGGGAAGGAAAGGGTTAAACTGAGAAATGCTTTCCTATGGACTGATAGAATGCGCGCGTGGCTCTTGCCGCGCATGCGCATTCAGCACAGACATCGGAAGAGGGAGGAAAGTTCCTCAGCGCGAGGAAGCCCGGTGCTGGCAGACTCTTCTTCTTCCGATGTCAGCGCTGAATGCCCATGTGCGGCAAGAGCCGCGCGCGCATTCAATCAGTCCATAGGAAAGCATTTCTCAATGCTTTCCTATGGACGTCAGCGTGCCTCTAGCGGCTGTCAATGAGACAGCCACTAGAGCAGGGATAGGCAACCTTCGGCACTCCAGATGTTGTGGACTACATCCCCCATAATGCTCTAACACACATGATGCTGGTAAAGCATCACGAGACATGTAGTCCAAAACATCTGCAGTGCCTAAGGTTGCCTATGCCTGCACTAGAGGTTGGATTTAACCCTAATGTAAACATAGCAGTGCAGGGTTAACCCTAGATGGACCTGGCACCCAGACCACTTCATTGAGCAGAAGTGGTCTGGGTGCCTATATTGGTCCTTTAAATCCTTAAATGGAAGGGAATTGAGCAGAGGGCGTGATCTATACACAAAAACGGCTTCATTAGGCTAAAGCTGTTTTGGGGACTATAGTGTCCCTTTAATTTGAAATCGCAATGTTGTAAGGAATAGTGAACCTGGGCACCCCATACATCCTTGTGTCCATTATTGCGCCCCTTCCCCTCTCTCTTACAGGAAGGGTTAGGTATGATGCTGGACTTGTAAACAAGTGCAGCTTGTGGTTTTGTTTACATGGGCCCTAGTCAAAACACAGAGGCGTCTAGAATTATTAACCCTCCAGGCGGTGGGGACTACGTTTCCCATGATGCACTGGGAGCCAAACATGCCTAGTTGTGTATTGATTAAAACAAATCGCCTTATAACAGCTTTCCGATCAGACCCCGCTAACTCTATTACCAAATGTGTCATTATGGCTTCAGGAAAGGTTTGTTTTTGTTCTGCATCACTCACTGTCTGCCCATGGCGGCCTCGGTCAGTGCCTGTAATGTACCTACCCACACAGTAGGTTGCCCTGCAGGCCGTGATGCTTTTAAAGCCTCCTCCGTGGGTGTCTTGTCAGATTACGGCTTTATCAGCTTTAATAATTGGACAATCGGGAACCGGAACAACGACCATCCCATGTTTTTAAACTGCTTTCCTTTTGTTCTCCTTCCTTGGAACAATAAAGTTGTTGAACAGTGGTGTATTGCCCTTAATGTACTCGGCTACTGGAGCTAGTGTGCATAGACCTCAATGAAGGTTGGTCTCCAGTAAAATGGCTTCTACGTATAACACTGTGTAAAGCGGTGGAGACATCGTGACCGCTGTTAGCTAGCTCTAGTATTTAGAACGACGACCCCTATTGGTGCTTGTTGGAAGTGCTGGGTTAGGTTTCTATTACGTGGGGCAAAGACCTCCAACATTTCAGTTTATTATACATTGGTTTAATTTTAACGACGCTAACAAAAACTTTACTTAAAAGATTTTGTCTGCCATTTTACTATATTTGTTTAATTATATTTCTCCCTCTCAAGTTTAACAACGAACATGTAACACACAAGTAACACAATAAACATGTTTACAGTGGAACGTTGACTTCTGAGATGTGTGCTCTCTCTCTCACCTACAGACTATATTGACACTCCAAGGCAATTAGAAAATATAATCCGAATTGGGGCCTTATTGGATAGTCAGTATTGTTAAATATGTGGCAAAATGCTAACTTTATAATGTATCTTCCTTTACCCTCTCACTCTTGGGCATTGCACTATTGGGAAATGTAAGCTAAGGCTGAGTTGTGGGGCAAGCCAGTTATGTCATGCTGTGATGGAATTCCAGTAAAATAAAAGTTTAGCAGGCCAAGCTTGCCACAATGTAGGTACATGTGTTTGTAGTATCAGTTAGTTAGTTACACTAGCTAAGATACTGTCATCACTGTACTGAGCATGTGCAGGAATGCAGGAACTGGAATTACGCGTCCCTCTCCTTTGTTTCAGATGAGCCACGTGGTTAGACCGGATGGATGAGTTTAGACTCTATTCATTGATTAGGTTAAGGGTATGTGTGGGCGTAGCTAATTATGGGAGGAGCTACAGTGCTATATAAGGGATGTACTCTATGTATTCAGTGCTCAGATCTTTGCTGTTTTTGGTGATATAAGTCCCTCTGAGTCCCGGTCGGTGTATCGAATAAAGATCTCTTCCTTCCTGAAGAAACCTGTGTCCATCTCTCTGTGCTTGGCCTCCGTCAGTTTCCCGGTAACATCTTTGGTGCATTGGCCGGGAAGCTCGTCATTAACGGTGGCTAGGAAGCAGAGGCGTAAGACGGTCTATCTTTGCCCACGTTCTCTACAGCTGCACCCCTGAACTTCTGCGTGGACCTCCCTTCGTCTCGGCGCCACTGGTCTGTTGTCCAGGAGATCATCGGCCTCTACGTAGTAAGTGCTGGGGTGTCCCCGTCGATGAGTGTGAACTCAGGTTCAGGAACGAGGAGGTAAGACGACTACTGTTTTAGACGGTGGACCCACTAGGGGTATTGGATACCGATTGTGCGGTAGGCCCATAAGGGGTTTGAATTGGAATTGTGTATGGAATTGGCCCCCTCCAGGGAGGGAAGGAGCGAAGGCGCACCGCTCATAATTAGACGCCCTGTAGTCAGCCCGTCTAATCTTGGTATGGAGTCAGGCTGGGTCTTGGTTGAATGTATATAGCCCAAGCCGGACACCGGTGTCTTGTCTAGACTAGCGTATCTAGGGTGTACATTTCGTTCGCTAGGTCGGAGGGACCGGGAGACTAAGCAGACTCTGGTGTACATTATCGTTTGCTAGTTCTCAACCTATCTTGGCTAAGTGGGAAGGCGTGTAAATTTGGAACCCACTAGACTATTGATAGAGTAGATAGACTAAAAGGGTATTGTTGTAAATTCCGCCCTCTAGTTCGCTATATGTGGTGCTTGGGCAGCGACGGCTAACCAAAACGGATGTAAATAGTTTTAGGTAGTCCCTCGAGGTACTGTCCAATAGATTAGTTGGGAAACTGTAAATGTGTTAAAATTTATTATAGTAGAGTGTATATCTTGCTGGGTAGCGTGAGCTCTGCCGTCTAGCGAGAGTGTGAATAGTGTGTAACTGTATCATAGCGCACGGTACCATAACCATGTATTATAATCACTGATACTGTAAATAATCACTAATAACTGTCGTTTATGTTGTATGTTTAACACCATAACTACTATTAACTGACCGGTGACTTTAAAATTGTATTCTAACCAATGCTAACCGTACTATAACTACTGTTTGTAAAGACGATGTTACTAGGGTGTGTTATAGACGGGTAATTTAAATACTGAGAATTATAGCGTGGGTAATTGTATAATTTCGCCAAAAAAGGTACAGTAACAGTTATTTAGTGTGTGGTGTAACAGCTGTGTGTACGGGAATTCCCTGTATGATTTGTTGTGTGCGTTTGGCCTAGTAACTGTGCCACGTGGTGCTGTTGCCAAGGGAAACGGGTGTGACTGTTGGAAGTGTGTTTTGTTTTGTTTCTATTGGAGACGACGCTCCATTGTTAAGTATGGGTGCGTTGGATTCAAAGATCGTTGATCCCTTAGATTGCATGTTAAAGAATTTTAAAAAGGGATATAATGTATGTGATTTTGGGGTAAAGATGTCTCCAACACGTTTGACTACTTTATGTAGCAGGGAATGGCCTGCCTTAGTGGTTGCATGGCCTCCACGTGGTAGTCTTGATCCTAATCTAGTGCAGCGTGTACACGTAGCTGTATCTGGTAGGCCGGAACTTTACGACCAGTTTCCATATATTGATTGTTGGAAACAGGCCGTGGATGACTTGCTAAAATGGATCAGGGTGTGCCAAGAGGAGCAATGCCACCTCCTGTTGGCCAGAACTCGTTTGTCCACCAAGGCCGTGATCACGCCCATTCTGGACACGCCCCCTGAGTCAGAGATTCCTTTACCGCCCCCTTACTCCTCCTCTACAGGAAGAGGAAGAGGAGGTGCGGCTAGTAATGCCACTCCCCTTGCCCCATTGTCTCCTCCTACCCCATCCTCTAGCTCAGAACAGCCCACTTGTTCTAAACCCTCCCCTTCCGGTACCTACCCCCACTAACTCCACCTATCCGGATTTGATGTAATTTCTGGTTCCTGGTCAGGCTCCTCCCAGCCCGGCCCGGAATATTCTGCTTACCAACCTCCACTTCAGTAAAGAAAAAGCGTCCCCCTCCCCTCGTCTTACTATCCCTCGACCCGAATCCATAACTGACCTTCCTCAACGAAGCCCCATACTAACCCGACAATGGACCGGTACCCTCCAACCCCGACATTATCAAATGCCTCTCCGATTGACACCGGGCCCGACACACATTAATGGTGAAGGCCAGTTACAACATACCGACCCCGTATGTTCCCTTTACCACTACGGATTTGTTCAACTGGAAAACCCATAACTCCTCTTACACAGACAAACCTAAGCCATGACAGATTTGATTACCTCCATAATCCAAACGCACAATCCCACTTGGGCTGATTGCCAGCAATTGCTCATTACATTGTTTAATAACGAGGAAAGGACTAGTATTAATCAGGCGGCAATTAAAGTGCTTGAAGAAGTGGCCCGTGCACAGAATCAGGCCAACCCGGTAGCATGGGCCGCAGCTCATTACCCAAACGTAGATCCGAATTGGAATGTTAATGGTGCTGATATGGCTCACCTAAAAGCTTATAGGGAAGCCATTATTACTGGCATGAAAGCCGGAGGGAAAAAGGCGATCAATATGTCAAAGACGGCTGAGGTATTGCAGAAATGTGATGAGTCGCCCAGTGCCTTTTATGACCAATTATTGGAGGCATACCAATTGTATACCCCCTTTAGTCCAGAGGCTCCTGAGAATTCCCGGATGGTTAACTCTGCCTTTGTCAGCCTGGCCCAGAGCAGTATTAAGAGAAAGTTACAAAAATTGGAGAGATTTGCAGGGATATCCATATCACAGCTAATGGAGGTTGCAAATAAGGTGTATATGAATAGGTGAACTGAGACAAAGCGTGAGAAGGAACGTAAGATGAGGAAAGAGGTAGATATGCTAGCAGTAGCTATCGCTGGTGTAGATAGAAGGGAAAAGGAAGTGTACAGGGGAACCGAGAAAAGCGAGAATAAGTGGAATAGGGAGCCTTTAAGTAGGAACCAATGCACATATTGTAGGGAAGAAGGGCATTGGAGGAGTGAGTGTCCATTTAGGGAACAACATGAGAGAGATAGAACAAGGGGAGGATATAGTAATAACTATAGAGGTAGAGTGAGAGGAAGAGGAGGCCCTGGAGGAAATAGTGGGAATAATAGAGGAAGTGTTCAAGGGGATAGGTATTACCCAGCAGCGCAGAGACCGCGAGAAAGAGAAGATAGGGACTTAGTGGGTTTGGCTGACACTGTCATGGAGGACTATTGATACCGACCGGGCTCCATAGTCGAGCGGAGCCTATGGTCGATGTAGCAATAGGGGGAAAAAGGAGTTCTTTCATGATCGACACTGGTGCTGAACATTCTGTGGTAACCGACCTAGTTGCTCCTCTTTCAGGAAGAACTATCACTGTAATAGGAGCAACTGGGAAGAGTGCTGCTAAACCGGTTCTCAAAAGTCGACTCTGTACACTGGGAGGCCACGTAGTGAAACATCAGTTCCTTTACATGCCTGAATGTCCAGTCCAACTTCTAGGACGGGATTTGTTGTCGAAGTTACAAGCACAGATAACATTTCTGCCTAACTGAACGACATCCTTGAAGTTTAATGGACCCTCAGGTAGAAGAGTGGCGACTTTATACAGTGATGACAAGTCAAAACCCTAAGAGTGATGAATCCTTGTATAATATACCAGGAGTGTGGGCAGAAAATAACCCACCAGGACTTGCTCGCAATATCCCACCTATACGCATCGAACTAAAGCTTGGGGTTTATCCAGTAAGCCTGCGACAATACCATATACCTCAAAAGGCGAAGAAGAACATACAGTCTTATTTGGATAAGTTCATAAGGTATGGTATCCTAAAATTCTGTACTTCCCCCTGGAATACTCCATTGTTGCCTGTTCAGAAGCCTGGGTCAGATGAGTATCGTCCTGTGCAGGATTTGAGAGCAGTCAATGATGCGGTAGTAAGTATACATCCAGTTGTGCCCAATCCTTATAACCTGCTTGCCTTGATTCAGGGTGGGACTACTTACTTTACAGTCTTGGACCTTAAAGATGCCTTC